AACATGGACACAGAACTTGGCTGGAGATTGTGGCTAGAGATCCTGGCAAGGCTGCTGATCAACTAAACGCTGTCTCCGTGTCATTCCTTCTTCGCCGACTCTGTCCACACCTTTGGGGACCCCTGGACCTGCTGGGGCTGGACCCCGGCACTTTTGGGCCCCACACACCTCAGTGGGTAGACAGGCATGGATCTGAAAATTATAAGTTTATACAATGTTTGGAAATTTGCTCATAGAGATCTTTAAAATCATATAGCTAAGATTCAAATCAAACCTTGGCTTCCCCATTTACAAGGATGAGGCTAATGCCTAGTTTACAGAATTCTGAGGATTTGCTAGAAAAGAGCCAAGATGTCATCGGACACGAAATTGTCCCTGAGTAGATACCATCGCTTCTGATTCAGTGGCCACAACGTGAACCCATGGAATCAGTTTAGAAACAAAATAATACCCCGAACCAAAAATGGCCTGGTGGTATTGCATGTCCTAGAGCCTCTTCCACCTAGAGTGGACCTGGATGGCTCAGGCTACGTGCAGCCAAAGGGCTGCCTCAGCTAGGCGAGGGTCAGCCAGGCTGAGAACAGGTGGAGAGAGCTGATGGAGAGGCTCCCGCAGCCTCTGGATTCATCAGCATCTGGAGCTGCGGGAACCAGAAGCCCTGCTGATTCTGACCTGCAGGCTGTGGTGGTTCTTGTTTGTTTGTTTTGGCACATAGTGTTTTTAAATAGATAAAATGCTAGTGTTTACAGACTAAAAGACAACCCCAAATCAGAACCTGTGGCTTCAGGAGACGTGGTCCTGGAGGCCTGCCCCCACAGGATGTATGTGGGTGGGAGCTGAGAAGCGCCTCTCCTTTAGATTGAACATGCTCTGCTAGTCTTGCCCCGCCCTTGAGCTGTGACACATGCTTCCAATAACAAAACCTTCCTTTTGTGGCCCTGCCGGTGTGGCTCAGGGGTTGAGCATCGACCCACTAACCCAGAGGTCACTGGTTTGATTCCCAGTCAGAGCACATGCCTGGGGTGTTGTGGGCTCAGCCCTTAGTGTGCAGGAGGCAGCTGATTGATGTTTATAGCTCTCTTCCCTCTCCCTTCCTCTCTCTAAAAAAGCAATAAAAGCATATTTAAAATTTTTTAAATCTTTCTTTTGAGAAAATTGAGGTCATTTTGCTACTTAAGGTTATTTTGAATCTTTTAAATACAAATGATTATGAAACAAATGTCTGATGTCTTCTATATTACTTTCATGGACTCCCACCTCCAAGGCCCTATAGTCTACTTTTCATGAAGCCTTAAAAAGACGAGCAGCACTGACTAGGGTCAAAGGGTAGTAACACGAATGTTGGAGGTGCCATTGGGCAGTGATGTCCAGGAGATGAAAACCAGTTCAGCTTTGCAATCACTACAGTCATATACTAATGATGATGAGCAGTTCCTTTCATTAAAGCCTCATATTTTACGTGACTCTTATTTCGGTATCTTCAGAGCTCTATTGAAAAGTAGCAGGATTTTATGACTTTGTTTTGCATTAGTGAAAGGAATTGCCCATCACTATTATTAACATTAACAAAATGAGAATAATATGATTTTGGATATTAACAGAGCAAAATGCAGGTCAGATGTGAATTTGCCCCTTCGATATCTCTTTCCCCATTTAAGAATATTTACTCTCTGGGTATCATTACATTCATGGAGGAAACGACCGGAAGTATTACATTCCGTGCAGTGCAAGTGTCTCCTTATCCACTGCCACATACTAAAATGTGGAAAGGTGTGTAGTGATCATGCACATAGAATATAGAAGATGAACAGTTACAGTCTGGATCTCATGAATGATTATCCATTAATTTGAAGTCTTGCGTTGTCTCATGTAACTTCTTATTTTCTAGCGTCGTCTGTGTTGGTGGAGACGGTTCTGCCAGCGAAGTAGCCCACGCGTTGCTCCTTCGAGCCCAGCAGAGTGCCGGCCTGGAAACAGACCGCATCCTGACCCCCGCCCGAGCCCAGCTGCCGCTCGGTGTGATACCGGCAGGCAAGGGAGTGGCCACGGCTTTGCTAAATGGACCCTCTCCTTCTATCCTTCCACCCTCCCCTGTTTTCCTTCCTGACCTAGACAGTGCGATATAGAGTTAAACACGTAGACTTTGAGTCTGAAAGACCCAAGCTTGGCCTCTTCACTAGCAAGAATGTGAGGCTTGGACAGTTATTTAATAGTTTTGAGCCACATTTTTCTAATCCATAAAAGGGAGGTAACCCACATAATATTCACTTTAGTATAAGATTATTGTAATATTAAATTAGGAGGTATATGCAGAGAGTTGGATACATAGTGAACCATTCAATAAATGGGATTGTTGTTATTCTACCTTTCCATGTGAAGGTCTAATGATCACATGTCCCAGATCATGAGATTTCGAAACAGGGCCACTCCAGTCAAGCTGCCGATGACTTCATGTGAGGGAAAGTGTGGTAACCCCCCTAATCAAAGTATACACAGGTAACCTTGGCAACACCGAGAGGATTTATTCCGACTGCTGTTTCTCCAACAGCTAGGACAGAACACGGCACAGCGAACACTCAACAATTAGGTTTATTAGGTGAATGAATGTAAGGATGATGTTATAGAATAAGCAACACTTGAATTAGGCCTAAAAATGGGTTTGATAGGTCTGGCCTGAAAAAAATGAGAATGAGCTGGGTTTTCACCTGCAAAAGTAAAAAACACCAAGGCAAAAACCCAGGAATGTTGAGGAATAGAAAAATGGATCATTTGTTGGGTGATTACAGTATCAAAATAGGCCAAACTATGGTGGCTCCTGGATGCCATAAGAAGGCGTCAGGACGGTACTTGATAAACAGGAGGGAACAATGGGAGGTTCAGAGCAAGGGAGCAACTTGCTGGGAGCCTGTTCTAGGAAGATACCTGATCAGGGCAAGGGAGCAGGAGAACAGCTGGAGCGCACAGGGATCCAGAGAGAGGCAGCATCTTTTGAGAGTTTATGATGTTCTATGAGTCACTCCTTCAATAATATTACTTAAACATACAATAGTGAAGGAAAGTGATTATTTCTTTTCATTTTTAAAAAATCACACATTTCTCTAAAGGAAAGCAGAAAGAATTATTCTTTCCTGTGAAAACAGAAATAATGTACGATTGAGAAAAATCAATCCATTTGATAATCACATTCATGTAGTATAGATTTCAGTATATTCAGCATTAATTGACAAAGAACAAAAGATATTTAATGTCCTTTTTGAGTATGAAGTCTGTTATACAAACAAGAATTTAAAAGGCTACTTGGATATACCCTGATAATTTTAAGCATATAGAGAAAAACCTATGGTAGTCTTTAAGAAAAAGAGAACAAAACCTCAACTTAGAAAAAAAAAACACATGCATTTGGGGCCAGCCACTTTGACCTTTTTGTGTTGCTTTAGTAGCTCTCTGTCTAGAATGGTGGAACTTTTCCATGAAAAGGGGACCTGTGTAGGTCACTGTTTTTCTTCCTTAGTACTGTCCCTCATGAGGTCACTCTTTGACTCCTGAGAATCAAAAGTGGGAAGATGGGCCTCCTCACAGCTGTGCATTTGACAGGAAGTGAATCGTTGGCTAGAAAAATTGGGGGCTAGGCTTATTTCTTGAAACATGTAAGTCAGATTTTATAAAGGAGTAGCACCAAGTTTCATCATCATGCTTTTTAAGCATATCTGATTCTGAAAGCACTTTTTGTATACAGTGGGCATGTAGAAATGCCATCTAAATACTCATTGTTTAGAAGATACAGCCCGTTTCCCAAACGCTGGTCATTGTCCGGGACTTGCAGCATACGGATCCCATGTAAGAGGAGGAGGAAGGCAAGTTAGGACGTGTTTAATGTGAGGACTCTATGCCTCCCCGGGGCGTTGGCAGCAGAAGAGCAGGAGCGAGGCAGGAAGTTTGCAAGCTGAACACCGAAGACCGTTTGCCTTCGCAGCCATTTGCCTCCTGGAGAGAGACACCCAGAGGGAGGATGGTTAGTAAATGACTACACTGAGCCAACAGACTAGCTGCTGAATTACGGTCAGACTCAGATGGATCAGATGTGGAGAAGCCTGTGTTTGAACTGCTGGCCATTAGCAATGGTGTTTGTTGCTATGGGAACTGGTGCTAAGGAACTATTAGGGGGAGATTTGGATTAAAGGGTGTGCCTGTGTGAGGTGGGGGAGAGGACAGAGAAAAAAGCTTGAGAGGACATAAAAATAAAAAAAGCAATCCAGTTGTTGTAAAACAAGGCTCGATCCACATACAGATGGCGGCAAACCATACCTTCCTATAGAATTCACATAAATAAATTCATGCTTTCCAATTAATTTGAGGGAAATTAAGTATTGCTAAGGGACTGTTAATTTCTACGATATTTCGGGCATGGAACCAATGTGTAGGTGCAGCTTTCCTGAGAATTTTAGATATGCTTGACTAGGAAGTCATTACATCACATTTATCTGTTTAGATGTGGGAGACATTAACGGCCTTATGAATATTCATGGAGTCTGGTTAATTAAGTTAATTGTTCTGCAGAAGTGCTTGCACTCCCAAGGACAATTTTTTTCCTTTTTTTCTTTTTGCCTCCTTGGCTTCTGCCTGGAGCTTCCATCAGTCACGGACGCCTACTTCTGTCCTTACTCTGTAGCGGGCGCATTTTAACAGGTTTGGGAAGGTGGTGGTGAGTGAGCCGAGTTGCTGGTAACGTTATGAAAAAGAACTTTTCAGGCTGATTAAAATGTTTACTGTGAGGTAGACCATTTATAGTTTTTGTGCAGATGCTAAAATTACTTAGTTGTTATTTATGTGAGCAGCATGTTCTTTTAGCAGGTAGACATCTTTTCAGATGAGTCACATTTTGTTTCAGCACACTGTCTTCTATCTTTTAGATTATCCAAATAAAAATACAGAGCAGTCTAGAGTTTTACAATTTTGCACCCACTTTCCTCATGAACATCTCCCTCCCCGCCCCCATGGACTTCATTTATTTATTTTTAATTTTTTTAAATCCTCAAGGATATGTTGTTATTGATTTTAGAGAGAGAGGCAGGGAGAGAAAGAGGGGAAGAGGGAGAAAAACATCGATGTGAGAGAGAAACATCGATCAGTTGCCTCTCATACACACCCTGACCAGGGAACCAATACCCAATCTGGTTATGTGCCCTGATCAGGAATTGAACCTGTGACCTTTCAGTGTACAGGAGGATGCTACAACCAGCATCTGGCCAGGGCTATTTTTTAATTTTAAAAAATATTTTTTCAACTAAAGTTCGCATTCAGTATTATTTTGTATTAGTTTCAGGTGTACAGCATAGTGTTTAGCCGTGGGCAAACTATGGCCCGCGGGCCGGATCTGGCCCGTTTGAAATGAATAAAACTATTGAAAAAAAGACCGTGCCCTGTTATGTAATGATGTTTACTTTGAATTTATATTAGTTCACACAAACACTCCATCCATGCTTTTGTTCCGGCCCTCCGGTCCAGTTTAAGATCCCATGGTGGCCCTCGAGTCAAAAAGTTTTCCCACCCCTGGGACCCATTTCATGTGCAGTAACCGATGCTACTTCTGCTTAGATAAAAATTATTTTATTTATCTCAATTTAATTGTGGCCCTCGAGTCACAAGGTTTGCCCACCCCTGGGTTAGACAATCGTATACTTTACAAAGTGTTCCCCCTGATATTTCCATGCATAATTACTACAATATTATTTCTTTTTAACGTAGAGCCTAAAACACCGTCTTAAGGACTACGGTCCAGGTTAATTAGCGTAGAAGATGACAAATAATTTTCTGACTTCTGGTCATGTCTGTCATCACTGCCAAGTTCTATGGAATTATGGAAAGTTGCAAAGTTGAGAAGCCTCAGCATCACAAAAATAAAAGTAGTGATCTCTAGCATTCTAAAAACAGTTGTGCTGGGGCATGCTTGGCATACTTCAAACTCACAGGAAATAAACAGGCTGTATTTTCTTGAGTCCTGATATGTGTCATTCTCTATTGCACATGACAACATCACATTATGCTTTTTAATAACCTTTCTAGAGGAATGTGTTTATGGCCATTCCTAATTAACCATGGTAATGGAGGAAATGTGTTTCATGGAGTACTGTAATCCATTGATAATCCTAAATATCTCCCTCTAATTATGTGGCCTCCTCCAAAATCTTCACCATAAATCTGACTGGGAAGCAAAATAGACTGATCTGTTCCCTCTCCTCCCCGCCCCCAGTCCAGATTCATTAGCGATTAGATGGCCCAAAGGCAGGCTGTGAGGGTCACAGGATTGTTAAAAAGGACTAGGTATTTGACTCCTGAGTAGAGGTCCACTGAGTAACAGGTTTCTGGACCACTTGTTCTCAAACCTTAGGGTGAATACAAATCAACTCGAGGAACTTCCCCAAACAGGGACACCTCCCTGGGCCTCACTCCCAGACATTCCACTTCCATGGGTTGTAGGTGAAACCCAGAAATTTGCCTTTTTTAAGAAGCTCCCAAGTAGTTCCGGTGCTGCTGCTCCCTGGACCATGCCTTCCAGGAGTGCCTGTCCGGGTTAACGTGTGCACACGTAACCCGAGGGTCCTGTACAACGCAGACGCTGACTTGGTCGGCCTGGAGTAGGGCCTGAGAGAGGGTCTTACTCAGCACCCTGGTATTGTCAGCTGCTGCTGGACCCTGGGCCATATTCTGAGTAACAAGGGTCATAGCATGACTTGCCTTTTGCTCAAGCAATTGGAGCCAGTTTGCCAGTTGGTTAAAGTGGAGTTCTCTTTGCATTGGTGTGACTAGAGGTCTGGAAATCATTAATGATTAGATAGATCCCTAATGATCATTATTTTAATGATGGTCTGTTACCTTAGCTTTTCCAACTGAGCAACCCAAGCACACATTAAGTTCAAAGTGACGCAAATTGGAGAGATTAACAGGGGACCACACAGGAATATTTCTGATTCACAAATCCAGGGACAAACCTTTGCCTTGAAAGCCGCAAACATAGCACATCCATGTTTCCACAGCCCTCGGCTGTTACAGGATTTCTTCCTCATATTCTTTAATTAAAGAAAAATTGTAGCTCCTTACGTTTAAATGCTTTTTGCCTCGTGGGAACGGCAGGGACTAGCTGGTATTTCCCCCTTCACAAGCAGACCTTTACCCCAGGGTCTCAGAGACATAAATGCTCTAGGGGCCTGACTTGAGAGAGCTCTTTCCTTCTGTAGGTAAGAAAAATTCATGTGGATTTTAAATTATCTTAATGATATTGAAAATCAGAAATCTATAATGTCTCAATACAGATTTTCATACCATGGCAAATACCATGGAATTAAACATTTTCTTTGTCTAGGATACCATTTGTCAGGCAAAGGAGAATCCCTGTTTGGGTGAGAGCTTATCTCTGAGATTCATCAAGTGCATTTACAGCATGCCCTTTGGACTTCGTAGTGATCGTGTGTGCTTTTCTCAGCTGCTGTTGGCCTTTTATTTTTTTATGTATTTATGCATTTGTCTCTGCTCTCCGGAAACACCCTTTTTCTGTTGGTGCTCCTTTTGGGGTAGAAGTTAGAAGCCCATTTGTTAAAGCTGGATGGGAGTAGACTTTGACATAGTAGTAGTTTTGGGTATA